GTGTCCTTCTCTTATGCAGAAGAAGCCACACATCATTAACACATGAGAAAGTCTAAAAGAATCCTATCAGTTACATCTCTGGTTAGATCACTGGTCTATCAGTTACATCTCTGGTTAGATCACTGGTCTATCAGTTACATCTCTGGTTAGATCACTGTCCTATCAGTTACATCTCTGGTTAGATCACTGTCCTATCAGTTACATCTCTGGTTAGATCACTGGTCTATCAGTTACATCTCTGGTTAGATCACTGGTCTATCAGTTACATCTCTGGTTAGATCACTGGTCTATCAGTTACATCTCTGGTTAGATCACTGTCAGTTACATCTCTGGTTAGATCACTGTCCTATCAGTTACATCTCTGGTTAGATCACTGGTCTATCAGTTACATCTCTGGTTAGATCACTGGTCCTATCAGTTATAGCTCTGATTAGATCACTGATCTCTCTAGTGCTAGTCCTCCTCCCTCACTTCCACCCCCGCCCACACCCGAGATAGTTCTCACTGTGTAGCCCAAGCTGACCAGTGCAAATAGAACAAAGTACTGTGGTACAAAAGTCTGTGAGAAAAGATTGTAAACCTCCCTTCCAAACGAGTGAGTGGGCTCTCAGAATGTTTGTGAGAGCTGAGGGAAGCTATAAAAGAAAGATGTATTGTTTTAAAAAGAACACTTAGAGTTAAAAATATTGTAACAGAAATTAAAAGTCTGAGAGAGGATAAATTTACGACTTTTTTTCAGACAAAGTAGCTGAGCTTAAGAAACTCAAGAGGCTGGTGAGTGGTAGCACACACCTTTAATCCCAGCACTCGGAAGGCAGAGACAGGTGAAGCCTGCCTGGTCTACAAAGTAAGACAGCAGGACTGTTATATAGGGAAACTTGTCTCGGAAAACCAGAGAAAGAGAGAGAGGGAGGGAAACTCAAGAGTATCTGCCTATCCTTTTCTCAATAAAAAAAAAAAAAGTTAAAAAAAAAGAGTATCTGCCTAAAAATACATTATTTGTATAACAGACATTTTAGCAGAGAACTGAAAAATAAAGAGAAAAATTATCAAAGGTAAAACTTAGGAGGTAGAGACAGGAGAATCAAGAGGTTAAGGTCATCCTCAGCTGCACAGCAAGTTAAAGGTCAACTTAGACAACACGAGACTGTCTCAAGGAGAAAGGATGTAGAAAAGAACTGTCAAGATAGCTTAGTGGGTAAAAGCACTTGCAGCAAAAGTCTGAAGATTTAAGTTAGGCCCCAGAACTGGCAAAAAAAAAAAAAAAAAAAAAAGGCAAATGAGCCGGGCGGTGGAGGTGCATGTCTTTAATCCTAGCACTCGGGAGGCAGAGGTAGGCGGATCTCTGTGAGTTCGAGACCAGCCTGGTCTACAAGAGCTAGTTCCAGGACAGGCTCCAAAACCACAGAGAAACCCTGTCTCGAAAAAAAAAAAAGGCAAACGAGGAGGCAGCTCGTATCTGGAAGCCCCGCCCTCCTAAGGCAAGATGGAAGGTAGAGGCAGGAGGCTTTCTGGTCAGGGACCTGCCAGCCTGCAGACAGCAGGGCAGCACAACAACACTTCCTAGGAGACTAGTGGAAGAGTGCACTCATTAAGACAGCTCAGTAAAGCAAAAAATGGCTGAGAAGCCCCAGCTTAAATAGCAAGTCTGTAGGTGTGGATGTGTGGCCTGGCAGGGGTCAGAGGTGGCCAGGAGATATAAGTAAACACACAAAACAGTTAACAGAAGTTACCTTGAAAGTGAAAATAGATTTTTTCCCCTTTTCACTTCTTTTTATGTAGTATTTGACTCTGCACCATAGCATATTACTTTTCTGATTTTTTAAAAAAGAAATATGCTGGGGCTGGAGAGATGGCTCAGAGATTAAGAGCATTGCCTGCTCTTCCAAAGGTCCTGAGTTCAATTCCCAGCAACCACATGGTGGCTCACAACCATCTGTAATGGGGTCTGGTGCCCTCTTCTGGCCTGCAGGCATACACACAGACAGAATATTGTATACATAATAAATAAATAGTATTAAAAAAAAAAAGAAATATGCTCCCTCCAGTGGAACACCCCCAATAGAGATGTTTAAGCCTTAGGTAACGACAGAAGAAGATTCTTTTGCATAACCTGCAAATTTGCTGGGAAAAAATTTTAACCCGCAACTAGTCTTCCCTCGCGTTAGGTTTTTATGTTTCATTGTAGCCAAGAGCTCAGTAGGAATGGCTTTGGGGAAGCAGGGCCTGAACTCTCTCCTAGGAAATAAATGTTTGGGGCTGGAGAAATGGCTCAAAGGTTAAGAGCACTGGCTGCTCTTCCAGAGAACCCGGAGTCCATTCCCGGCACCCACATGGCAGCTCACAGCCATCTGTAACTCCAGTCTCAAGAGATCTGAACCCCTCTTCCGGATTCTGTGGGCACCAGGCATGCATGTACAGCGCAGACAGACATGCAGACAAAACACCCACACACATCAAATAAACAAAGAAAATAAATGGATTTTTAAAGAAGAAAAAGGAACCTCCGTGCCGCCATTTGGCGTCGGTCTTGTCATAATGGCCAGTAAAGGAATCCTGGATCCCTGGACTGCCGCAGTCTTCCATTTGTGCGAGCCTTGTCCACAAAGAGCTGTCCCTGCTGCAGGCCCTTGATTACCAATAATTAATCTCAGATGAAAGGTTCAGTACTCCGGGCTTCCTCTGTCTCTGACCTAAGAGAACACGCTGTGAGTGGTTTGTTTGTGTGCCTGCCAGAGATCTTATCTGGGCCCATAAGAGTTGATAGGATCATTAAATCAGCATTGATCTTTCCTCGGTATCCTTTTTCTGCAAAAAGGGGTGCGTGATGTCTCAACCCTGGATGAAAGGGAGACTTAATATACAGCACAGGGGTCACTCAGTAACAGCTATATTTAATAGCAGTAAAATCTAAGTAACTCGGCCATGTGTCATAATCCCCATGTTTTCTCTGCTGTTTCTCAATGTATTTGGCTAAATCACTCCAGAGCGACCAAGCCAAATGGCCAAACCACCCACTTTCTTATTCCCAGCACATGAATTAGAAGGGAAGCCAGCTGAAGTCCAGGCCAGCTCATAAATGACTTGTATGTCTGATTTTTATTCCATGATCTGAGACTCAAAATAAATCAAAAAAGAAACATTTTCCAAATACCGGCAAATTCACATGCACAAAAAGTCTCTAGCCCTCTCACTGCACATGCAAAGATGATAAACAAACTCATTCTGAGCAGATACTACTTAGAGGTTAATTCCTAAGGTACAAACAGACAGTGTAGCAAGCTTATGGAACCTTGTGTTCAATTTGAGACTTGCAAGCCAAAACGAAGGCTAAAGATCATTTTAGGAAGGGCTTGAAACAGGAAACCTTTGAAGAAGGGTCCTAAGAGGCAAATTTTGAGCTTGGAAAACAGTGATTATTGCCGAGGCTGGTAGCACAGGCCTATAATCCCAGCTACTCAAGAGGCTGAGGCAGGAGGATGGGTATCTGGGCTACATAGTGAGTTCAGAGTTAACCTGGGCAACTTAGTGAGCCTATGTGTCAAAATTAAAGAAGAAAGTTACTTAGTTGGGGATATAGTTCAGTGGTAGATCATATGCCTCTTGTGTGTGAGGCCCTGGGTTTCACCTGGTAACAAACAACACTCTAGGGAATATGGTCCTGCAGAAGCCTGTGCCAACACATGAAGTTAGATCAAAACAGTGGTGGACATGCAGAAGTTGCTGTTTGGTTTGGATATTTAGATAAACTTATTATAAAAATATAAAGTTCCCAACTACAACTTGTTAAACTTAAAATTGAAGAGAGGGCCAGGCAGTGGTGGGTACACACCTTTAATCACACTCAGGAAGCAGAGGTAGGTAGATCTCTGAACTTGAGGCCAGTCTACAGAGTGAGTTCAAGGACAGTCAGCGTTGCACAGGGAAACCCTGTCTTGAAAGAAAAATTGAGCACAGGAAGGGTGCAAGGACTGAGCTATGAAGAGTATCAAGGTGTAGTAAGTTCATTCTGAGCATACACATGGGCCTTCAAACACACATGGTTAAGTACAGATGTCGGACACATCCCTCCTCAGTACCTTGTATCTGATATGTGTGTGCGTGTGTGTGTGCGCGCGTGTGTGTGTGTGTGTCTGTGTGTGTGTGTGCATGTGTGTGTGTGTACTGAATGGTTGTCCAGCAGGACTCTGGCACCTCTGCCTGGCCATAGCGCCCTAGAGTTAGGGTCTCTACCAGAAAAGCAGATGAGCTACACAGGAGCAGAGCCTGACTCCAGGGGAGCAATGAAAAGGGGCAGGTCAGAAAATTCTAGAAAGAGAAGTCTGGGTTGGAGAGATAACTCAGCAGTAGAATGCTTACTTGGATTCAGTTGCCAGCACAGCAAAAAAAAAGAGAGGTCTCTGCTCGCCTCTTTTACCCGGTATAGAAAGTTTTAGAAAGTACAGGGATGCCTGGAAAACACGTCTAAAAATGGACAAACTGCAAGGTTGTAAGGCTGAAGGCTGTTAACATCTGAATTGGTTTGCATAATTGGATGGATCTCAAAGTGCCTTATCTTTTTTAATGCTATTTATTGCTGCTATGTGTGTAAATGATGTGCGTAGGGCTGTGTGCATGCCACACTGCACACGGGAGGTCAGAAGACAACTTTACGGAATCCGTTCTCTCCTTCAGCCTTTGTGATTGAACTCAGGTCAGCAGGTGATTTACCCGTGGAGCCATCTCAGCAGACCCTCCTTGTCTGTATAACATAGCTTCCAGCTAAGGAAATATAATATTGTCTCTTACTAAATACCAACTGCTTCTTCCGTTCATAAAAGATTATCACCAAGTTACAAGACCATTTAAGTCACAATTTGAATTATTGGCAGACCCAGGACTAACCCCAGACTTCCTTCTTTCGGGAGAATAGTATAAAAGCATTCATCATCTCCATGAAATGCTGTTTCTAGCGCTGACTTCAGTTTTAACTGCTCACCTCTCTCCCTCCTGTCCTGCAGCTGGGATGAGAGCAGCTCCATCAGCAGTGGGCTCAGCGATGCCTCCGACAACCTCAGCTCCGAAGAGTTCAATGCCAGCTCCTCGCTCAACTCCCTCCCCACTACCCCCACGGCTTCCCGCAGGAGCTCTACAATAGTGGTACGTGATGTCGCAAACACGTAGGCCACCAGGTCAAGGTGTACCACAAAACAAACTGGGCAAGGTCTGTGGAGATGTGGTGCATGGTGCCATGGTGACCGTATTTGGTGCTCACGCCTATCTAGAGTGATACATAGAAGAGCTTTTCCAATTGGAGAAGAAAAAGTACCCTAGAGATAATGTATCTTCTCCCTGGAGCACTGGGGGTGGAGGGAAACCCTAGCTGACTTAAGGGTATGGGCTAATCAAGGCCCTTCAGCCCGCTGTTCCCGCCACCCCTGTGTAAGTGGCTTACTCTGCCCTTTTCTCAGCAGCTGCGCACAGACTCAGAGAAGCGCTCCCTGGCAGAAAGTGGGCTGAATTGGTTTAGTGAATCAGAGGAGAAGGCCCCCAAAAAACTGGAGTACGACAGTGGCAGCCTAAAGATGGAACCTGGGACCTCAAAGTGGCGGAGAGAGCGACCAGAAAGCTGCGATGACTCTTCCAAGGGTGGAGAACTGAAAAAGCCCATCAGCCTGGGGCATCCGGGGTCCCTGAAGAAGGGCAAGACCCCACCAGTGGCCGTCACCTCTCCCATCACTCATACAGCCCAGAGTGCCCTCAAAGTTGCAGGTGAGTTGGGATAAAGGAAGGGACAAGGATGAAGACCTTTCTTCAGTGGTTTTCCTCGATGACCACAAACCTATAGAGTGATAGCAAACATTTGCAGAAACGCTTTAATGGACGGTATCTTTTCTACGGATGTTGTTTCCCAGGCTTTGCCCCTGGGGTCACCTTGAGCTTTAATCAATATTTCCCTTTAGTGTCTAGACATTTTCTTATCAATACATTGCATCCCCTTCTTCTCGTCCTTCCTTGACCATTATTAGACACACTTCCTTCTTGATCATTTTTGCTGTTGTCTCTGCCATTTTAACTAAAATAAACCATCCCACAGAAAACAATAAAAATTAAATGAAAGCCTACTTCCTCCCATAGTCCCTCCGGTAAGAGACTGTATCTGCTTATCCAGTATTTAGGTCTCTAAACATTTATAATATATAGACAATGATTCCTTTTCCCCTCTAGAGAAAGAAAGGTGTTTTTAAGGTATTATATAGACCAGGCAGTGGTGGCATATGCCTTTAATCCCAGCACTTCTGTGAGTTCAAGGCCAGTGTGGTCTATAGTGTGAGTTCCAGGACAGCCAGGTCTACACAGACAAACCCTGTCTTGGAAAACCAAGATTTCATGATAGCAACTCCTCCTCTGTTTCCTGCCCCCCTTTCAGGCAAGCCTGAAGGCAAAGCTACAGACAAGGGCAAGCTCACAGTAAAGAACACTGGGTTACAGCGCTCCTCTTCTGATGCTGGCCGGGACCGCCTAAGTGATGCTAAGAAGCCTCCCTCGGGCATCGCTCGCCCCTCTACTTCAGGATCCTTTGGCTATAAGAAGCCGCCCCCTGCTACTGGCACAGCTACTGTCATGCAGACAGGTGGCTCAGCCACTCTCAGCAAGATCCAGAAGTCCTCAGGCATCCCTGTCAAACCAGTAAATGGGCGCAAGACGAGTTTAGATGTGTCCAACAGTGCAGAGCCGGGATTTCTGGCGCCTGGAGCCCGGTCCAACATCCAGTATCGCAGCCTGCCCAGGCCGGCCAAATCCAGTTCAATGAGTGTGACTGGCGGGCGGGGTGGACCTCGCCCTGTTAGCAGCAGCATTGACCCCAGTCTCCTCAGCACCAAACAGGGAGGCCTTACACCCTCCAGACTGAAGGAACCTTCCAAGGTTGCCAGTGGTCGGACCACTCCGGCTCCTGCTCCTGTCAATCAGACAGATCGGGAAAAGGAGAAGGCCAAAGCCAAGGCTGTGGCCTTGGACTCAGACAACATCTCCTTGAAGAGCATTGGCTCCCCAGAAAGCACTCCTAAGAACCAAGCAAGCCACCCTCCAGCCACCAAGTTAACGGAGCTGCCGCCAACCCCTCTCAGGTACCCACACTGGGCAACATTTTCCTTTTCTGTTTCTCCAGCCTTAGACTAGATGTGGCATGGCCTATCCATTGCTGTCTCTAGACCTTTCTGTGGGTCCTGCCCCTCTCCTCTGTGGCATGTCTTCCGCGTGTTTGCTAACTCACTTTGTTTCTGCTGTTTCGTGTCAACATGGTCTTTAGTACCAGTGTGAATGGTTTTACTGTGTCTGTGTGAACATTTCCCATATGCATGTGTTGTCTTCCTTACGACTGGAGGTGCCATAAGTTAGGTATGGATTCTCCTTCCGATGGGTTTGTCAACAGCATCCTAGTAACCTTTAGCTGAGTGAGCAGCCAGAAGAGAAGGGAGCTGGAAAAGGATTGCCTGTTGCCCTGTAATTTGTTATTCTGAGTATTTTATTTTATCTTCACTCCTCTCAGGGCCACAGCTAAAAGCTTTGTCAAGCCACCGTCACTAGCCAACCTAGACAAGGTCAACTCCAACAGTTTGGATCTACCATCTTCCAGCGACACCCATGCTTCAAAGGTCCCAGATCTGCATGCTCCCAGCTCATCAACTGGGGGCCCTCTCCCGTCTTGCTTCACCCCCAGTCCAGCACCCATCCTCAATATTAACTCAGCCAGCTTCTCCCAGGGCCTGGAGCTGATGAGCGGTTTCAGTGTCCCAAAGGAGACTCGCATGTACCCCAAACTCTCAGGCCTGCACAGGAGCATGGAGTCCCTCCAGATGCCGATGAGCCTGCCCAGTGCCTTCCCCAGCAGTTCTCCTGTCCCCCCGCCGCCTGCTGCCCCCGCTGCCCCACCAGAAGAAGAGACTGAAGAGCTGCCCTGGAGTGGAAGCCCCAGAGCTGGACAACTGGACAGGTATACAGAGGAGACAGCTGAGCCTGCCTCAGACTCGTTTGGCCACTAGCAGGTCCATCCATTACTAAGCTGTGATTTCTGATTTTTTTTTCATTTTAGATAATTAAATTAGATTTAGATTATTATTTAAATAATTAATTATTTCTATTTTAGTTAATTAATTCCTTTGTAACTCCCTGAGTTGCAAAGTTCGGGTGTTTTTGTTTTGTTCTCATCAGTTAAATGACATCTCAGAAGTCTCATTAGTTCTCTTCCTCATCTCACTTTGGCACCCAGGTGCAGAGTCAGTCCTATCCCATCACGTCCTGGTTCTCACCGTCCTTAGTATGACCTCTTAGATGCCTAACTACATCTTAACTCCTCACAAGAGGAAAGCATGTAACATTTCAAACACTTCCCAAGTTCTGAGTCAAGAATTTGGTTGTGAGCATCTTAGTATTTGTTTATAGAGATAGATTTTCAGAGTTTGCTGTCCTGTCTCCGGAGGCTATACCCCTCAGACCTGTGGTCCCAAACTCTAGTTTCCAGGATGAACTCACATGCCTCTCTCTCCACAGCAATCAGCGGGATCGGAACACCCTTCCCAAGAAAGGCCTCAGGTAACCCTTATGTGTATTTTTTTGTCTGTTTGTTTTTTGAGACAAGGTTTCTCTGAGTAACAGCCCTAGTTACTTGTACATAGGCTGGTCTTGAACTCAGAGATCCGCCTACCTCTGCTTCCCAAGTGCTGAGATTAAAGGCATGTACCACCATTGCCTGGCCTGTTTTGTTTTTCTACCATATACCCAAGATTCCTGGCCTATATAAAAAAAAAAATTCAGCTAGGTAGTACACACTTTTAATCCCAGCACTTGGGAGCCAGAGGCAAGTGGGTCTCTGAGTTCACTTCCAAAAATAAATAAAATAAAATCCCAGCCCAACCTAACCCAGGCCCCGTGAATGAATTTAGGCATTTGTACCTGGTCCTATAAAAACACCACCCATTGCACTCTGCAAACTAACAGTCAAATGTATTAGCTTTCATAGCAAGTGATTTTCTTTGCTGTCAAAGGAGAAATGAGTTTGCACACAGGAACCGTGTGCTTACTTATGCTGTCCTATACCATCATAGCCCTATGGCCTTCCCTGATTCAACTCAGCACCTCATAGTGAACCTCTGAGGCCACTCACATAGGCCAGGGACAGGAGTGTGGGTCCTCCTCTGTCAGGATAGCACCCAGTTGCTCAACTAAATGAGGATATCTGTCACCTGAAAGCCTGCATATAAAGCCATAGAGCCTTGAGTGGAGAGGAAATCCTAAGGCCTCATCCATCCATTCTGGACAATGCTGAGTTACTATCCCTTGCCTGGCTCAGCCTTTTGTGTAGCTTTGTAGTGGCTCAGACCGAGCTCCTCTGCTGCTTCTTCAGGTACCAGCTTCAGTCCCAAGAGGAGACCAAGGAGAGGCGGCACTCCCACACTATCGGCGGACTTCCCGAATCCGACGACCAGGCAGAGCTGCCGTCCCCCCCTGCCCTCTCCATGTCCTTGAGTGCCAAGGGCCAGCTTACCAACATAGGTCAGTGTCTGTGGTCACTCGCTGTGGCGAGAGATGAAGCAGGGATCACTCTCCAGAGTGGGGCAAAACAGCTAGGCATGCTTGGCTCAACATGTAGTGGGTTGCGCCTCAGTTTACCAAACCGCACTAAAGACGAAGTGTTCCAAAGTCCTAAACTGAAAAGCTGTAGGGTCCTGATGCTATCAACGAGTCTGAATGACCACGTGGGAAAACTATAAACTGAGGCCCTAAGCTCCAGACTGGTGCTTTATGTACAGTAAGTACTACCAGGAGCAGCCACCTCCAGGGTGATTCCAATCTGTGGGGCTGGTGAGCTGCAGGCAGAGAAGGGTTGTTGATGGCAAAGAATGAGGCCTGTCTCCAAAAAAGAAAGTCCACATTCACCAACCACCCTGGCTGAGCCAGGGCCATCCTAGCCCTAAAGGCAGGCTGACTAAGACTCCTCCTAGACAGGCCACACCCTCTCCAAAGCCTGTAGAGAAGAGAAAACTGGGAGAGAAGGAAGTGGCCTTAGGACTGACTCAGAGACAGGATGGGGAAACTGGCTTCAGGAGGCAGTCCTGGCTCCAGCTCAGACACTCATCAGCCCTGGTTCTGGGAAACCCTGTGCCAGGGCTGGTGTAATTCGAATCTCTTTAGGACAGGGCTGGGATGGACGTGCCATTTGCTTGCTGTCTCTGTCTAAATCCGCCTCTCCTCTCAGCCGTGTGAAAGGAAGCTGCTCTTTGGTGATGAGGACTTGCAGCAAGCCTGTGCCATGGCTGTGGGGAGTTTGAGGAGAACTAGGACTGGAGGTCACTTGTGCCTCCGGGAGGGACATCTGGCTTCTGTGGGCTTGTCAGATGCAGGGTGGGACCAGCCTGTTTTCTATCTCCATTGAGGGCCAAACATGAAGAAAGGCTATTCGTGCTGTAGGATGAGGGACCGGGCCGGACAGTAATCACCTTGGGGGTCCAGAGAGGGTAAGACAGAGGTGTGAGTTCTTCCCAGGTCCTTATCGGCAAGGGAAACATCCACATGGCTATTTGGAGGCCAAAGGTCAGAGAGGGGAGCTCCACAAGGATTTGAATCATGAAAGGCAGCGATTTAGCAAGGAAAAGTGGGGGTGGCCTCTGTGGTCAGCAGATTCCACAGCTGTGGGTTCCATAGCCTCGCTGACACTTTCATCCACTCTGCCTGACCTTCGTTTCAGGGGATGCTGAGCAGAGAGGCCATAGTCTAGTTTGAGATCTGAGTGAAAGTGACCTAGAGCGAGCCTGCTCTGCAGGGGCCCCGCGCCCTTTCCTAAGGCTGAGCCCATTGGATCCCACAGCCTGGTCCCCGTCTCTGTAACTGGTGCTGTTTCATCATTTGGATCTGAGTCTTGGTCTGAATTCTCAGTCCCCACTAAGACAGCTTTCCAGTTGTGTTTTCGAGAACCACAGCATCCCATTTTCATCAGCACATCCTAGGGATGTGAAGGTTTCGGGAAAGCCGCCAGGCCCCCAGCCTAACCTTCAAAAGTGACAGCTCCGAGGCAGGCAGCATTAAGGGAAGATTCTCAATACAGACGGTGGAGTCCTTCTCCATCTGGGCCCAACCTTCCCAGGAGGGGTTAATCCTAACCTCCAGCTGCTGGCACACCCCCACTGCCCCCCTACTGCTCCTTCCTCTCCTCCCCTCTTCCCCTTTGCCTCTCAATGACTCCTGCTCCGTCCCCCACAAGGGACCCGAGAGCTGATGACCCTGCCTCTTCTCCTGCCTCCCCCTCCCTCTCCCTTCCCCCTTCCCTCTGTCCTTCCAGTGAGTCCCACTGCGGCCACCACGCCAAGAATCACCCGCTCCAACAGCATCCCCACCCACGAGGCGGCCTTCGAGCTGTACAGCGGCTCCCAAATGGGGAGCACCCTGTCCCTGGCCGAGAGACCCAAGGGAATGATTCGGTCAGGATCCTTCCGAGACCCCACGGATGATGGTGAGACTTCATGCTGACGCGGTTCACACTCATCCCAGCTCCGCTGGGTTCCCTCACCCACCACCACCTCCACTACCACCACTGCCACCACCACACACACATATATAATTCACAGGACATCAACTTGGGCCATTTCAGTTCTGTCTTCCCATAACTTTGAAGGATCTGGGGGCCCAGAAACCTTGGGTGGCACCACCTAGCGCTGGGGTTTTTGGGTGGAGCATCTACCACTGGGGCCCAGGGAAGGGAAATTGAGGTTTGGAAGGGTTAAATGTGGCTGTGAGTCCTCGGTGCTCTGAGAACTAGAGCTTGTACGTGTAGCCTTTCTTCCCCACGGTCTCTCAGGAGAGATACGGGGACAAAATGGTCGCTCTTAAACCCATACAACTAGGCATCTCAATCCTCTTTCTAGAATGTTCCAAAGACTAGCTCCCAGGCTGGCCATCTGATTGTTGATGCTGATCTGGGTGTTAATGGAAGACCAGGCCGTGGGGTTCATGAGACCTCCATTACTATTCTCGGGATGCATTCCTAATAGATGCGTGTTAGTTCTGCAGTGGGCTCTGTTGAGTGATCACAGAGTATTCCCCACTTTGCTTTTTTTTTTTTTTCACCTGAGTGGTCCCCAGGCTCACAGGCTAGCACTGCAAGGGTGGGAAGAGGAGACACAGAATCAAAATATTGGTTCTGAGCAGCTCCGACAAGAAACTCCCCCATTTCTGCAACTTAACCTGCTTTCTTGGCTAAGCAGAGCAGACGCTGACCACCCATGAAAATCTCCTTTCCCTCTCTCCGGACCCCTATGCTCCTCAGTCAGGCTGAGCACGGGACCACCAAGTCCAGGCCGTCCGAGAACCTAGCTGGAAGGGGAGGCTGTCTCTGTTCAGGACCATGTCCTCGGATACGTGCCTGCTGTGGGCTGATGGCATCTGAATGGGCTGCCCTGTGGTGTTCTTTCTGTTTGCTCCAGATGCCCTTCAAAATGGGAGTCCAAAGTCCTGCCGTAGGGCTCCTCCCAGGAAGTTCTGGGCCCTGGAGCCCCCTGCTAACCTTCTGTGCTCTCCTTCTCTTTCAGTTCATGGCTCGGTGCTGTCTCTGGCCTCCAGTGCCTCATCCACCTACTCCTCAGTAAGACCATTGAAGTCCCTTCCCCTTCAGCCCCCTCCCCAACCATTCCACATTCCGCAGACCTCCTTTGGTTGGGTAGCTGGGTGGGGATGGGGAACTAAGGTCCCTGCATTCTACTCCGTGGGCCTGAGAGTGAGTGTAGGGGGGAGACCTTGCGTTTGGAGCACTCAGAAGAGTGCCTCGGGTCCTCTCTGTTCTTTCTGGCCCTGCCATCAACTCCCAAGCAACTCTGGTGTTCTCCCACACCCCCCTTTGAAAAGTGAGAATTTCCTTGTGATAGCACCCTTTCTTTGTCCTGGGAAGTGGGAAGTGTTTCCAGCACCAAGATGAGTGGGTTCCCAGGCCTAGAGATCCAGTAGCGTGCAGAGCTGACCCAGATGTCGACTGTGGGGAACCACAGAGGGCATTTGGCTTTCAGATACCCTTTGACTCTTCGGTGGGTTTTGACCCCAATTCCTTACTCCCTCAAGTTGCTCGCAGTCAAGGTTTGTTTTCAGACCAGCCAGTCTCATTCTCTAGCCTTTTGGCAGTCACAAGGCTGGTTAAAGAGAAGCGCCAGAGAGAGGCCTATTATTTAAACCTGAGTGCAGCTCCGAGACAGTCCTACCAGGGCCAGGAGACGGGGCATTCATCTCTCTGCATCTCTCAATCATGCTTCTTCCTGTCTCCGCCCTGACACTTGGTCTTGGCTTCTGCCCCTCCATAGTAACTGCCTGCTTTTTCTCTCTTTCTCTCCTTCTGTGCCCACTTCTTCAGGCTGAGGAGAGGATGCAATCTGAGGTAGGGTACAAAGCCTTTGTCCTCGCTTGTTAACACCACCGCACACTCCGTTTTCCTCCTGCATTCTCTGCTTCCTCCTCCATCAGTAGTTTGCCTCTCTCTTCCTTTGACAGCAAATTCGGAAGCTTCGTAGGGAACTGGAATCATCCCAGGAAAAAGTGGCCACCCTGACATCTCAGCTCTCTGCCAATGTGAGTACCTGAAGCAGGGTAAGACCCCGCTCTAGTTAAACACAGGCAATGTGGAAACGTGGTCTGATGAAGTCTGACCTGGGTTTAGACCCCCAGGGAGCAGGTTCTCGTCACAGCGTTACAACAGAAGATGTGGGGACTTGGGGACTGTCCTTCCCTTTCTCTGAGCCTTCGTTAAGAACCATTTCTCCCTGCCTTAAATAATTGGTGTGGATGAGTTGGTATCTGGTAACCTTTGACCTTCCAAAGAAAGCGGAGACCAGTGGTTCTGCAGAGAGGCAGAAACAACCTTGCCATTGGACATGGACAAAAATAGCAATGCATTTTAATTACTGAGCCCTTGAACCCTTTTCCACTGCCCCAGGGTGTGTTTATGTCTTCATCGATGCCTCATAACTGAGCAGGCACAGACCTGGTTATTAGAATTCTGTCTGGTGACCATAAGACCAGCTCAGAGCTGAACCCCCATTCTAGCTGCCTGTGTGGGTTCACAGTTGGCTCTGACTTGGACAGGTGACAGAGTCAATATGAGCTTTAGCTTTGGAACCAACATTCTTCGTTTCTGCATAGACCCGTTTAGAATGACTACCTTCCTCCAGACCTGACCTTAGTTTTTCTGTTCTGAGATGGAGAGAAATGGAGTTGCCTCGTCTACCTCCACTGTGGCTGGTTCCTCCCCTGTGACCAAATTGCAAGCAGAGAACATAAGACCCATTTTCTCCCCAAATTGTAAACAACAGCTGAGCTGGGTCTCCAAGAGCTTTCCAAGTGTTTGCGCAGAAATAACCACGTCTACAGTTTCCGCAATACTTTCTACTCTCCTGTCTGCCCTTCTCTCTGGGGAACTCAGCTGCCAGGCCTGAGTCCTAGCCCTTGGGATCAGGTAGAATGTCCACCAAGATTTTGCATGTTTTCAACATATTTAAGAAACAGCTCCCTTACCACATTGGTTATTATCTTTATTCTTTTTCCCAAATCTTTAGTTCATAAGTCCTGTTTATAAGCTCATATCAAGCTTCCAACTCTCTGGGACCAAAAGAAGTATAACAGAAACAAGAATCATCCTATACCACACCCGTCACGGCATGGCCTAGGTCATGTCCTGCACACCCTAGAATATTCATGTCTGGGATGTTGAAGGGGAGAGGCGCCAGGGAGGCGGAGAACATCATTGAGCCTGATTCATTTACACTGCAGTCTGTCAGTCATGGTGCTGTCAAGTCTGGGCTAGTTCAGAAAATGAATTTAGAGGGTGAGTTTTCTCAGAACAGGAAGTTCCATTTGGCTAAGAGAGAACAAACTAAACACCCAGATCTGGTGAGTTCTGAATCTAGAGTTAGATGTTTGCCAAGGTCAGAGCCCTTCCCTCAAGCAGGAGAGGTGATGCCAGGTCCCAGAGCTTGCCTCAGGATTCCTGATGTTGAACCAAACTGATGCCATGTTGAATGGAACCTCCATGCTGCTGAAGATGACATGTCCTGACCGAGAGAGACCCAGGTCACTGTAGCCTTCAAAGCTAAATTCTCTGCAGAAGAACCGCTTGGCTCAATGTCCTACAGGCACCCTAATCTGGAGTTGGGATTAGAGTAAGGTGCAGTGTGGGAAAAGAGAAGTGGAAGAGGAGAGGGAGGGAAGCCCAGTTCTCCAGATGAGGAGATGTCCATGTAGAAATGCATGAGGAGACCAGGGGCTCTCCAGGCTCTTCATTAGATTTTCAGGGACTATAAGCTGCTTGCCGACAGCACATGGTGGTATAAGTTAGAAGTAAACAAGAAGGGCTGGAGCAATGGCTCAGTGGTTAAGAGCACTGGCTGCTCTTCTAGAGAACCTGGGTTCTATTCCCAGCACCCACAGAGTGGCTTACAGCTATCTGTAATTCCAGTCCTAGGGGATCCAGCACCGTCTTCTGGCCTGCATGGTGCCATACATACATGCAGGCAAAACACCCACATACAAATAACATTTAAAATTTAAAAAAATAAAGATAGGTGAGAGTTGGGCTTCAGAGGGCAAGCTTAAAATCCCAAGTGCTTGAGGGTCGCAGGTTCAAGGCCTGTTTGAGATAGTGAATTCAAGGTCAGCCTGAGAAACTTGGTGAAATCTTCCCTCCGATTTAAACAAAAGACAGAAAGAAAGATGCTTAGATCATGATACCTGTCTACTAGGGAGCCCAGAACTCAGCAGACTTATAGGAAACATGGAAGAGACTGCCTCCAGCCTTATAGGCTCCAAGGACACTGGTAAAATTTGACTTCGTGGTCAGAGAGGACAAATCACATCACGTCATGAAATAATAGAAGACAGTGAGCGTCTTGCAGACAACACAGGGACCTGTCCAAAGCCTTCTGCCTCTTGCTAGAGTCACGGTTTGCTTCGGTGCTCTCACTGGAGACTGAACATCCTTGAGTGGTCCCTTTCCTGCTCCATATCTCATTTCGTTTGCTTTCCTTTACCCTTTGCGGCCAGTTGGCTAGCTTGAGATCAAACCACGAGGTACCTCTCCCCAGCCCACCTACCAGAGAACTTAAGGATCCCCAGTGCCTCCAGGTTCCAGCACCTTTTCCGATGTAGACCTGACACCTAGTGGCCAAAGTGTGGAATTCCCCTGAAGTGGTTTGCACAGCCTCCAGTTTCCCTCCGCCTTACATGGAATAAGGCTTCCCCTCCAAAACCAGGAGGAGATAAGAATAAAGAGTCAGCCAGCTGCAGAAGAGCTAAAACAGACAGATCCTACTGGGAGGTCATTGGTCCCAGGAGATTTGGCCGTCCATGGTGGATTAAGCCAAAAGCGGTAAGACTGTAGAGGCTGTTGCTCTCCCATCAAACCTTCCACCAATCAACCACGTAAAACAGGGAGGGACTTTAACACCGCTGGTAGGTGATAAGAACCAGATCTCAAGTTCCCAAAAAGCTCCGAAAGTCTGCTCTACCCACTGCGCTGTTATTAGAGGAGCTGGTTCTCTCCAGAAAACCTATTTGGTTCCACCTTGTCTGCCCAGGGAAATCAGTAGCTTAGAACCGCCAAGGGTTTTGCTTGCACTGGTCAGCTCTGAGACACAGGAAATCTGTTAAACTACTCCTGAGCCGGGCGATGGTGGCGCACGCCTTTAATCCCAGCACTCGGGAGGCAGAGGCAGGCGGATCTCTGTGAGTTCAAGACCAGCCTGGTCTACAGAGCTAGTTCCAGGACAGGCTCCAAAAGCCACAGAGAAACCCTGTCTCAAAAAAAAAAAAAAAAACTACTCCTGTATCAGTCATTCCCTCTTCCACAGCCGCATGTGCCTTAAGTTCTTCTTTGTCTGTTTGTGTCAGGCTAACCTGGTGGCTGCCTTCGAGCAGAGCCTGGTGAACATGACATCCCGCTTGCGACACCTGGCAGAAACAGCCGAGGAGAAGGTGAGAGGCCAGGGCGGTGAATTCTAAGCATCCTAGCCAGTTCTTCCACTCCTCCCTCAGGGCCATTTCCCCACTTCGTCGCCCCGATTCTCAGCCTGCTTGTCGGTACAACATCCCATGCTCATCACTCCCAGTTCCCTGGCCTTTTCTATCAGGAGCAGTAGAACCCCGTGCGTGGTTCACTGAGTATTCCTGCTGTGCAGATAACAGCATAACTGTCATTTTGCTTAGGACACTGAGCTGCTGGATTTGCGAGAAACTATAGACTTCCTGAAGAAAAAGAATTCTGAGGCCCAAGCGGTCATTCAGGGAGCACTGAATGCCTCAGAAGCCACACCCAAAGGTAGGATATTAGCCACAGAGTGACGGGAATTGAAAAAGACCAGGTTGGTGAAAGGCAGGTCAGTACAGGGCCCATAACCCGCCAGCTTTCACATCCAGCTTCTAGAAGGTGGGGATCCTTAGGTAGTCTGCAGTGTGATGTCTTGATTATCCAGTGGGGAGAGCCAAGAGTGTGACCCCGTAACCCCTGAGGATCAGGGCGAAGTAGAGGAGACCTATAATCTCCCCAGGCCCACTACCCTTCCCTCAGCCTTTAGACCAGAGCCAAAGATCAACATCAAAGGAGTCTCAACAGGGCCTCATCATGTAGCCCTGATTAGCCTAGAACTCACAATTGCATTGCTGCCTCCATTTCTCAAGAGCTGGAGTTAGAAGTGTTTGCCACCAGGCCCAGTAAGAAATCACCCCTTTTTGTTTGTTTTTAAATTTCTATTTATTTTTTAAGTTTTTATACAAGTACATATCATATGATGAATATATTTCCCCTCTACCTGTTCCTTTCCCAGCCCTCCTCCTTCCTGTTCCTCCCCTACACAGTCTCAGTTCTACCATCATGTCACATACATACAGATGTGGTTCTGTGTATCCATAATAAAATCCAGGCACAAACAAGAAGAAGTGTGATACTTTTTCCTAAGGTTGGCACACACACACAAAAAAAACCAAAAACAAAACACTAAATCTTAAGTAAAAGTGGTTCCAGAATAGCACAAATGTGTGGTTGGTTTACATACATGTACGTGATTTTACTTGATTATCACTCCACCCCTCCATGGACGATTCAACCTGCAGTTCAAACGACGGAGCCAGAAACTGCAGAAATCCCCTGGGACTCTGACAGGTTAGCCTTGGTACTCAGCAGTCAGTTATACTTTGCTGTGGACGGTGAAGGGGTGCAGCTCGGTAATAGCCCCGAGTTCCATTCCCAACACACATAATGAAAAGCCCAAACACTTTCTGTCTCCAGTCCTTTACCAGAAGCCAGGCCTGTGGGACAGCTTGGCAGGCCTCTTACTTATCCATAGTCATTTTTCTTTGTTTTGCTGGCTTTTAAATATATATATGTGTGCACTGGTATTTTGCCTGCATGCATGTTTGTGTGAGGCTGTCAGATCTTGGGGTTACAATTGTGAGCTGCCACATGGGTGCTTGGAATTGAACCTGGGTCCTCTGGAAGAGCAGTCAGTGTTCTTAACCACTGAACCATCCCTCCATCTCTAGTTTTAGATCCTACTTAAGTCTTCGTTCCATTTTTAATAGAGTTTTGCATTTTTTTTTTTTAGAGACAGGGTTTCCTATAGCCTAAATTGGCAAGTTTTCCATACTCAGTTTCATTTTCATGAGATTATATAATATATATAACATATATATTATAATATGTGTATATATATATATGGTGGGAGATACAGGTCCCTTTTATTCTTCACACATGAACAGCCAATTGTTCTGATATCATTTAATGAAAAGCCTGCTTTCTCCACTGAATTACATTAGAAAGTTGCCTTTGTCCGTTGATAAAAATAAATAAGTAAGGGGCTGGAGAGATGGCTCAGAGGTTAAGAGCATTGCCTGCTCTTCCAAAGGTCCTGGGTTCAATTCCCAGCAACCACATGGTGGCTCACAACCATCTGTAATGAGGTCTGGTGCCCTCTTCTGGCCTGCAGGCACACATGCAGACAGAATATTGTATACATAATAAATAAATATTTGAAAAAATAAATAAGTAAATGTATGGGTTTATTTCTGGACTCTGTTCTAATGAGACGTTCTGTATCTATCTTTAGGCAGTACCACATTTTCTTAATTACTTCTTTGTGCATTTAGTTTGAAAATTGGACACGGTGATCCCTCCAACTTTGGTCTCTTCAAGATCATTTTGGTTATGGTCCATTTCTAGTTTTGTGACCTACACACACACATATGCACAAATTAAATCTAGATTCTATATATGAAAGTAAATATATTTGTCTTCCTGTGTCTGCTTAACATTATTTCTGGTCACATTGATTTTTCTGCAAATGTCAAGCTTTCATTTTTTCCTTATGTCTGCATAAAATTTCATTGTGTATATGGACCACATTTCTTTTAATCGTCCGCCTGTTGATGGACAGCTAGGCTGGTTCCATTGCCTGTGAATAGTGGAGCAGTAAGCATGGATGTACAAGTATCTCTGTTTCTTCTTTTTTTTTTTTTTTAACAAGATCTTGCTGTGTAGCTCTTTGGCCTCAAACTCCCTATGTAGACCAAACTAGCCTCAAACTCCAGCAACCCTTCAGCTTCACACTCATATAAATACACAACACACCCCTTTCCCATCTGCAGTTTTGCCCAGCTCAGGTAGAATCAACCTCGGTACCATGCCATTAATATACCACTTTATGTTTTCCTCCTCACTGTTTGGCCCTTGGAGGGAGTTCACTCTGGTGCCTATGCCATCCCAATTATACTCCCCCTCCGTCCTGGTCCTGTCCTGGCTCGGGGTCTCCATCGCTGCAGTCATTCCCTAGCTGGCTCGGAGTGCTCCAGTCCCTACTTCCACTGCACCCACAGCAACTGCACTCCCAGTTCAGATCAGAAAGCATTCCAGCTTAAACATGAGCTGGTTGTTAGATAAGAGGGATTACGATTAATTTTCTTTGGCCTGAATGCTTTTGTGAGTAAATATCCATATTCACAGGAGCTATATCTTCAGGCACTTGGTTGCGAAATGTCATCTGCAACTTATTTTCAGATTGTGTGAGAAAGTGGTGAGGGAGCAGATAGAATAAAGTTAGCAATGGTTAAACTGAGCAGAGGGCATCTGAGTATTATTTTACTATGCTGTAAGCTTTCCCTTGTATTTGAAACAGTTCGGGAAAGAAGGTTAAAGAAGACAGATTGTATTCCCAGTCCTTTAGACCCTATCTCAAAAAAATAAAGAAACAACAACAACAACAAAAAAAATAGGTATGATGGTTCATACCTGTATTCCAGTACTTGGGAGGCAAGGCAGGAGGACTGTCACAAGTTCAAGACCAACCTGGTGTACATAGTGAGACTTTGCTAACACATGCGCACACATGCGCGCGCACACACACATTGGTTGCATCTGCATAAAAGTGTCCAATGCCAGCTTCAGTTAAGTCCTTTTCACAACACACATACCCACATACAATACACACACACACACACACTGGTTGCATCTGCATGAAAGTGTCTCATTCCAGCTTCATTAAGTCCTTTTCAAAAACAGTCAATCTGAGTTCATTACTAAACCCTTCTATTGTACTAAACTGGGGATTCTTTTTCGTGGTTTTGCTTTTATTTTGTTTTAGTTATGGACAGGGTCTTACTGTGTCACCCAGCACAGAACACGCAATCCTCCCAAATGCTGGGCCTCGCCCTGCCCCACTTAGACTGAGGGCTTCCTGAGAATAGAATTGTTTCTTTCTTCACGTTAGCTGTTTTTCCTCTGCTGAAACATGACTGTAACTCTCTGTTGGTTGATGAAAAACCCACCAGATGAGTAGTATGCACCTAGAAGTTGGTGGGTCCCCCCACCCCTTGTCGGCTGCAGCTAGACCCCTTAAACCTCCCGTTTTCACTAAATCTACCTCTGTGTTCTTCCCACCTGTACTGGCCCATAGAACTCCGGATCAAGAGACAGAATTCCTCAGATAGCATCTCCAGCCTCAACAGCATCACCAGCCATTCCAGCATCGGCAGCAGCAAAGATGCTGATGCCAAAAAGAAGAAGAAGAAGAGCTGGGTAGGTAATGTTTTGGGGGCTGACCTGTGGTAGTTACATTTGCCCCAGTGCAGGGAACAGATCCTTTCAGGATCCACCAGGAGGTAGTCCCTTCTAGTAAAGTGTCAGTGTGCCGTCTGTTGACGTCTGCTGGGAACAAAGTCTAAGTCCCCATTCCTCCAACCGTTGTCTACTCCCCCACCACCACTCGCCCTGCAGTCTTTACACTTGTCTGCTTTCCTGGGGCTCTACCTACTGATGCCGTCAAATGTTCTTGGCCACAGAAGGAGCTGAGAAAATATCCAGGGGGTGGGAGGGAGGGAATTACATATCAGTCCCTCCCCTACTCTCTCATTATGGAGAGAATTTATAAGACAAGTGACTCATTCTAGATTCTAGGGGGCCTTGGTTTGGGAGAGGTGTCTCTGGCTAGTCCAGGGGTGGGTTTGTTATGTGTGTTGTCCCCGTCCCCTCCCTACCCCCCATAGCTCTAAACTGACCCTGGATGAACTTTCTAAAGTCTTCAGGCAGGTGTAGGGCATTGTCTGACTGACTGAGAGGGAGAGTGACCCAGAGTGAGCGTCTTGTCCCTGTCGCCTGCTGAGGAAGGCTGGCCACAGACCTTCACCTGGTGCAGACAGGAGCCCTCTGTGTGAAATGAATGATTAGTGTCGCTGCTGCTTCTTTTCATTTTTTTTCTTTTTATTTCCTCAAAATGCTGACTTCCAATCCCTATTTTTTTCCAGGTTTATGAGGTAAGAGACTCAGTTCCTCTCCCTTTACTTTTTCTTTCCCTTTGCACACCCTCCCTGTTTCCGGAGCAAGTTCCCTCTCTTTTTTTTAAAAAAAAAAAAAGGTCACCCATAACCCCAACTGCCCCAGTTCCTAACTCACTCCACTGCATGGTCCATCCACGCTGCCCCTCATGAGGACGGAGGAGTGGTCTGCTTAGGGGTCAAATGGGAAGTCCTAACAAAATCCAAAATTATTGCCTGCCATCTTCCCCTGCTCCAAGATTGGCCTATTATAAAAAGCAGACCCATTGAGCTCCTGTTATCCAGAAAATGTGCATTTTTTTCCCTACTCACAGTAGACTCCTAAAATGGAAGAGAATCAATGAAGGATATCTGAGTCACAGCTTCTGGAGGGCTGTCCATTTTGGGCTTATCAAAAATTAGCTTTAGACAAGTATGAACTGGAGACAGGTGAGGGATTTATTTCATCCAGGGTAGGCAATGCTCATCGCCCCAAAGGCCATGGAGCGTCCAAGGACAAGTCAGGGACTAGAGTACTGTTCGAGGCAAGCATGATGTGGCCCAGAATTTTTATTCCAAAACAGATAGGTGTGCTCCTGATGCTGTACAAGGATGTGAAGGATGGGAAAAGCTGAGCTCATTGCCGCAGTCAGTAGAAGCCCACCAGCCTGGTGTGTGTGTGCCTAAATCCCAACACTAGGGTGACTGAGACAGGACGAGCACCATGAATTCAATGGCAGCCTGACCTACATAGTAAATTCTAGGCCTGACCTGAGTTGACCCCGGAACCCACACAAAGGTGGCAGAAAAGAACTGGCTCTACAGAGTTGTTCTCTGACCACACACACGTGCTGTGGCAGGTGCACAGAGATGGAGAGGCCAGTTGTTCCGTCTAAATCTGGATATCTAGAGGAGCATTGCCCAGTGTGCTGTGCAGATCACCAGGCCACTGGGATGGTCCTTAAAGATTGGCAATACCATCAGAAACCTCTGAGGGGGCGCTGCATTTCCTACCTAGCATTATCTGTGTTAGGAAAGTTCTAAGACACCCCGTCCCTAGCAGAGAGTCCTGGTTGAACCATGCAGCCAGTGTCGGTCTGTAGGAGCAGAGCAGATGTCTCCCTGCAACCCTGACTGTCAGAATATTAAAGGTTACATAGAACGCTACTGTCATAGAAATGCGATGATTTCAGAGGGCTCTGCTGTAGGCAGACATGGCCACAGGATGTCTCTCTAGAGAGGGAAAGAGACAAAGACAAGAGATAGACTGGCTCTCGTGAGACAGTGATGTGGAAAAAAACTCCACCACATTGAAAATCGGGAAGCCTGGATGTCTTCCTTGCGATACACAATGCCACGCCAGTCAGTCTCAACTCTTCCTCTCTACAACTGAAACTTTATAATACTTTTGAGCCCCGGTTGCTCCGTGGCTCACCATCTGCACATATACTCTCCCCTAAGTGCCCCAGCCAGCTTGGTCCTCATGTCTTACCTACAAGGTCCACGCACACCATGTTCTAGCTCCATAAGCTCCCAGGAGACCTCAGACATGTTCTGAGAAGGACACCTAGAAAGGAGCTACTCAGTCCTCCCAGCCCCCACCCTGATACACACACACACACACACACACACACACACACACAGCTTTTCATTTACTGTCCCAAAGATCTGGCTTGCCTTTGTCCCCTATAGCCTTTGACCCCTCCTTTACTCTCTGTCTCTTGCTGCCATCCCATGTCTATGTTCCTGTGTGTGCGTGTGTGTGTGTGCATGCTGTATGGAGGCATGTGAATGGGTGTGGGTCAGGTCCTTGGCTTGCATATCTAGCTCACATCCCTAACCCCAAAGCTCATCGCCACCAGAACCAAACAAGCTATGGTCAGATTATAATGTCCCAAGTAGACAAAGATTGGCTGGAAGATATTATTCTTGGACACTTGACATAGTAAGCTGTGCTGAAAGGTGGGCATGGAGGTAAATACCTGTGATCCCAGCACTTGGGAGGTAGATGCAGGAGGATCCAGACTTCAAGATCACCCACCGCTACATACTAAGTTCAAGGCTAGCCTGGCCTGCATAAGTCAAGTCCCTGTCTTAAAAATAAGGAGGAAAGACAAATCAGTTGGTTGTTTTAACCACTATGCCATGGGCTGAGAACAAGAAATAGTACATGAAATGAGATCACTTCCTCGTCTTGATTCTCTTAGGACTATATTGTCAGTTTGTAGTTCTGTGAAGTTGTAAAGAGATTAATAGGTTCTTTTATAATGTGCCCAAGTCAGAAGGAGCATCCTAAGACCCACAGAGAGTGAGATTCTAAAGTAATCAGCCAATGGAGGAAGTGAAACTGGACTGTTGAGAGGTGTACCATGTGTCGTCTGGGGAGCTTTTTCTGTCATGAGGGACACAGTTCCTTCCATGAATTCAGCAAGTTCCCCTGACCTATAATGGCAGCAAACCAAGTGGTCCTCTCTTTTGCTCAGTCCTGACTTGTAGATAGCTCCTCTGTCCACATACCACCAGTCAAGTGACAGCTCACAGAATGGGTATAATTACAAGTAAATCCCCTGCCTCCACATCCTCGTCCCGGCCCTAAGTCATCCTCCCTGCCCCAGTATAGAGCCTTGACGTCTCCCTCTCCGGAATCTGCTCTCTTCTAGCTTCGAAGTTCCTTCAACAAAGCCTTCAGCATTAAAAAGGGTCCCAAGTCAGCCTCCTCGTACTCTGATATCGAGGAGATTGCCACACCTGACTCCTCAGCCCCATCATCCCCCAAACTACAGCATGGTTCCACAGAGACCGCATCCCCCTCCATCAAGTCCTCCAACTCGTCCTCTGTGGGCACTGAGGTCACCGAGTAAGTGCTCTCTCCACCGGCCACCCTGGGAAACCGCTGGCCTTTGCCTGGGCATGTGAGACCCACAGAGGGACCCTTGCTGACAGACCAGAGGGGTGCCAATAGGTAGAAGGAAGCAAGACTATAGGCCAGGCATGTCAGTATCCCCTGCTCTCCAGTGCTTCTCTGGGATCCAGGCTGACTCTTGCTTCCTTACAGGGTCCCTGCTCATTCGGTCCCCCACACTAGACTGTTCCAAGCCAATGAGGAGGAGGAACCGGAGAAGAAAGAGGTATCGGAGCTGCGCTCTGAACTATGGGAGAAAGAAATGAAGCTTACGGATATCCGGTTGGAGGCCCTAAACTCTGCCCACCAGCTAGACCAGCTTCGGGAGACTATGCACAACATGCAGGTGAGTGTCTGGGTGGAGCTGCAGGAGGGGAGAGCGGGGGCCGACCTCCGTGCCACCCTGCCACCTGCCCTGTCTCTTCGGCCCACAGTTGGAGGTGGACTTGCTGAAAGCAGAGAATGACCGGCTGAAGGTTGCCCCCGGCCCCTCCTCAGGCTCCACTCCAGGGCAGGTCCCTGGATCGTCTGCTCTATCATCCCCTCGCCGTTCCCTGGGCCTTGCACTCAGCCATCCCTTCGGTCCCAGTCTCACAGATACAGGTACCTGCTTGGGAAGAGCTTGTGTGGGTAGAAAGAGAAAGGGCGTATTTACATCATGTGCCATGGCATCTTTGGTCCAGGAGGTAATGGCATTGAAACCAAGAAGATCCCATTGTCAGTACGCACTATGGTTCCCATCTCTTCTTCGTCATAAATAAGGAATCAGTATTTGGAATGGAAAATAACTACAAAGTTTGGGGTAAGGCTGAGTCCTTAAAATCAATTAGTCTTTTTCAACCTGCACAGACCTATCGCCCATGGATGGCATCAGCACCTGTGGCCCTAAGGAAGAAGTAACCCTCCGGGTGGTGGTACGGATGCCACCCCAACACATCATCAAAGGGGTAAGGGCTTCAGGAAGGGCCAGTGGAGGAAGCAGCATGATACAGACAGCCACATATTTGCACTGTTGCAAAAGCAATGTATGTTTGGTAGAAACTGTACTTGCATTTTGATCTGTCCCTGGGCTAGCCCTGTGCAGTATGAAACACTCTCAAGCCCCGGGATGATGACAGGGAGCCACAGCACCCAGCCAGCCACACACCCATGAGAGTAAACAGCAGCAAATGCTCCCGTGGCTTTAGTGTACTGAATGCACTTTGGACTCACAATATTTGAATTCATAATGGTTTTATCATGGGGAGGGGGAAGGAGGACAGGGTCTCATTTAGCTCAGACTGACCTTGAACTTGCTGTGTAGCAGAGGATGACCTAAAATTTTGATTCTCCTGCCTTCACATCCCTCCGTTTGAGAGTCTTATGGGGCTATCACATAAAATAGAGAAGCTGTACTGTCTGTCACACTTTTGAAAAAAAAATTTCAGAACTCTGAATATCCCCAAAACTAGACTCCTAAGCTCCTGAGGCTTTCTGGGATCCCCTTTCTAGTGTCATCTGTGCTGAGGCTCACGTGCCTCAACCTTAACCTTACAGGACTTAAAGCAGCAGGAGTTCCTCTTGGGATGCACCAAGGTCAGTGGAAAGGTGGACTGGAAGATGCTGGATGAAGCTGTTTTCCAAGTGTTCAAGGTAAGGTGATTCCCACCCTCAACAAAGTTGCTCATCTTCTCAAAGGGCATTCAGCCATCCAGGCACTGGGATCCTGGGAACCTTTGATGCTTTATTGAGGGGCCAAAATAGGAAAGTGCACATACCCTATTCCTCCTACGCCTCCTTTCATTGCCTATATTTGTTCTTTCTTGCGGCTTTTCCGTCTGTAGTTACATCTTTTCAGCATGCTCACGATCTTCTTGTCCTCCCACTTCTTCTACCAGGACTACATTTCTAAAATGGACCCAGCTTCCACCCTGGGACTAAGCACCGAGTCTATACATGGCTATAGCCTCAGCCATGTGAAACGAGTGTTGGATGCTGAGCCTCCAGAGATGCCCCCTTGCCGCCGAGGTGTCAATAACATCTCAGTCTCCCTCAAAGGTCAGTCTTTGTCTCTCAGGGTGAGAGAGTGTGGCGTGGGGGCAGGGAGAGGATCATTGAGTCATGTATCATACGTTCACATAACAAGAAATGACTGAGAAACCCTAATGTGAATGTGCTTAAGGAACAGAGAAAATAAAAAAGACCCAATCTGATGTTTTTGCCAGTCTCGGGCTGCTTCTCTACCCATTCTAAGTCAGAGTGCATCCCTAAAATTGAGATCCAGGCTTTCAAAGCTGGGTTGAGGTGATTCCACTGGAACCCCAAGACAGGTGTTTCTGACTTTTTTCAGTGGACCCCTAAATGGTGAAGGAAAGGTTCTTTGGGTATCTTGCCATCCTCAGAGCTGCTTAAGACTCGTGCTTTCTGGGGTGGGGTGCAGGTCTGAAGGAGAAGTGTGTCGACAGCCTGGTGTTCGAGACACTCATCCCCAAGCCCATGATGCAGCACTACATAAGCCTCCTGCTCAAGCACCGGCGCCTTGTGCTCTCCGGCCCCAGTGGCACCGGCAAGACCTACTTGACCAATCGGCTGGCTGAGTATCTGGTGGAGCGCTCAGGCCGCGAGGTCACTGATGGCATCGTCAGCACTTTCAATATGCACCAGCAGTCTTGCAAGGTGGGGGCCTCCTGAGACCTTCTGCCAGCCTGTGTGGCCTCAGCCTCCCCCAAGCCTTTCCCTGGCCCTCATTCTTTTCCCTTTCCGCGGCTCTGCCCTAATCTTTCCTCTTTCTTCAGTCTTCTTTCCCGCCCTTTCCTTCCCTCTAATATCCCCTTTCTTGTCTTCTCCTCTTCTCCCCTCTCCTCCTGGCCTTTCCTTTCTTTCTTTCCAGGCAGGGTCTTGCTATGAAGTCCAGGCTGGCAATGAACTAGCAGTCTGCCCACCATCCTCTCCTCTGCCCCAGTTGTGTGTGTGTGTGTGGTGTTGAGTATTAAGCATTAGGCCTCATGCATGCAGGCAAGCACTCCATAACTGGACTACGTCCTGAGCTCTCTTTTTCCTTTTACACGGGGTGTTTCCCAGGCTGGTAAATGTGCAGTCCTTCTGCCTCAGTCTCCCAAGTAACGAGGATTGCAGGCTGTACCACCAGCCTCAGTTAGCTCTTAGCTTCTTTACCCATAACTTCCTCTTTTGTACTTTCTCTCACCTCTACCTCAGTTCTTCTTTCCCTCCAGTTAACCAACAGTGAAACGTAGCCTCTTTTCTCTGTACTCTGCCAATGCTGTCTACCATATCATTCTCTTATATCTTCTTCTCCCTACCTTGTTTTTCATTATTACCCATCAGACAATGGGATACAAGGCACAAGTGTTCAGGATTAAGTATTACATGCTATCTCCCCAATGATCTACCTTGAGTATACCCTAAAACTCTGGAATGGTACAAGCCTTAGCTATCCCAAGCTGAGGAGGTAGTAGCATTAGCTCAATAAAATATTATTTCAGGATAGATACTCCTTACTTGTTGAGGGGGAGATTTAAGATTGCTGCTCAAAAGAGTTTGCTTGAAAGGGGCTCGCGGTGCAAGGGTATGCGGTGGTGGTGCACGCCTTTAATCCCAGCACTTGGGAAGCAGAGGCAGGTGAATCTCTGGGTTCAAGGCCAGCCTGATCTACAAGAGCAAGCTAGTTTCAGGACAGGCTCCAAAGCTACAGAGAAACACTGTGTCAAAAAATAAAAAAAAGGGGGGGGGAAGAAAGGAAGGGAAGGAGGGAGGGAGGGAAGGAGGGGGGGCTGGGGGTTTAACTCAGTGATAGAGTATTTGCGTAGCATGTGCAAGGCCCTGGGTGTTCAATCCCCATCATTTCAATAAATAGAAAAATAGATAGACAGACAGATGATAGGTAGGTAGATAGATAGATAGATAGATAGATAGATAGATAGATAGATGTTTGAGGCCTCTAGGACTACTGTCAGTCAGTCTGTGGTAATCTGGTTCAGTAATCCAATGTTTAAGTACGTCCAACAGGGACCAAGGGCCCCAGGGAAATATGAAATTAACTAAGCTTCTCCAAAAGTCTTGCCAAGGTTTTCCAGGTATGTCCACTGTCCTGAGTGATAACCCACTGTCTTCATTTATTCCAGGATCTGCAGCTGTACCTCTCCAACCTGGCCAACCAGATAGACCGGGAAACAGGAATTGGGGATGTGCCCTTGGTGATCCTATTGGATGACCTGAGCGAAGCAGGCTCCATCAGTGAGCTGGTTAATGGGGCCCTTACCTGCAAGTACCACAAATGGTAAGCTCAGGACTACTTCCCACACTGGGAAGAAGGGGAAGAACGCAGCCCAGTCTGCCCTGTGAGTTTCCCATTGTGTGTACATGGAGACAGATCTCAGTAAATTCTTCTCCCTTTCTTCCCAGTCCCTATATCATAGGTACCACCAATCAGCCTGTAAAAATGACACCCAACCATGGCTTACACTTAAGCTTCAGGTAAGAACTGTATCCCTTCAAGAACCTTCTGGCTGTACCCAGGTGCCTGTAAAGAATAATTCAGTCCTGAACTTGTGGGCAGAGGAGCAGTGAGGGGCTACAGGCAGAGCCCTTCAGGCTAGAAAAGGGAAGTCGATGTTTTTGCACGTCAGTTACAGGGTGAAAGAGGACAACTTTGAGGGAAGGGAAGGAACAAAAGCCTAGGAGAAACCCTGGCTGGCTGCTGGATTAAGGACTTTCTTCCTGGTCACTCTATGAGGCCAGCCAGTCATTTGAGGAGGTCAAAGTTGAAAATCAATTTTGCCCATCCAGAGCTGCTACCTTACTGCCATCGTCACCTCCTGTCATTTGAGAAGAAGTCAGTGGGCATTAATGGGAGACAGGCAGGAAGAGGGCCAGACTGGCAAGGGATGAACCCTGGCAGTGTCCCCACTGACACTCTGACCCTGTTCTTCCTATCCCTGGTGACAGGATGCTGACTTTCTCTAACAACGTGGAGCCAGCCAATGGCTTTCTGGTCCGTTACCTGCGGAGGAAGTTGGTAGAGTCAGACAGTGACATCAATGCTAACAAGGAAGAGCTGCTTCGGGTGCTGGACTGGGTGCCCAAGCTGTGGTATCACCTCCACACCTTCCTTGAGAAGCACAGCACCTCGGACTTCCTCATTGGTACTGGGGTCCAGCTTCCCCTGGGACTGGAAGCACTTTCCCTTCTTGTATCTTACCCCCTGGAGGGAGGCTCTCTTTGCTTGCTAATGTTGAACCACTTAAGTATATAATCAGCTTTTCCAATGCAGTAGAACTATGGAATTGGATAAAAATCACTTCAGACAACGGGAGAATTGCTTGAACCAACTGCAAGTTCAAGGCCAGCTTGAGCAACAAATTGAAATCTCTCCTAATCTTAAAAATAGATAGGTTAATTAAATAAAATAAATGTGCCGAGGGCATAGCTCAATGGTAGAACACTCACTTAACATGTGCAAGGCCCTAGGTTAAAAACTAAAGCTATCCTTCCCCTCATCTCTCCTCAGAGTTGGTTAGTAAAGGAAAAGAAGGCGTGCAGGAGGGAACTGAGCTGCTTGCCTTTCCTCCTTGCCTCACTTCCGCCTTGTAAACATTAATGGTCAGGCAGACAGCTGTCATTCACTACTCTTGACCGCCTTCCGATTCCCTCTAAGCTTTGGCTGTTACCCCTCTATGCCCTGCACTAAGGAGTAAAGGAAGCAGGGCAGGGAAGATCAAGGTTCTCAGGCTTCTTCATGGCCACATTGTTTTCCCTAGGCCCTTGCTTCTTTCTGTCCTGCCCCATTGGCATTGAGGACTTCCGGACCTGGTTCATTGACCTGTGGAACAATTCCATCATTCCCTATCTACAGGAAGGAGCCAAGGATGGGATCAAGGTGAGCCTCGCTCTCTAACTTTACTCGGGATTCTCATTGCTGTCTAACTGTAACTTGTTACCCATCGATGAACCTTTCGCCAGCTTTCCTTTCCTGGTTTCCCCAGCCACTGACAACCACCATGCTCCTTAAATGTCTGTGAGATCGATTTTTAGACACCATATAATAGGGCTGTGAGCAGATGATACTTACCTTTCTCCTTGCGGCTTACTCCCATGCTGTTGCAAATGGCAAGATTCCAGTTCTTTTGTGGCTGAATCATCTTCCTCTGTGTATGCAGAGCAGCTTTTCTTTATCCCATTGTCACGTGGGTAATTTCTATCACTCGGCTACATCACTGCTGCACTAACATGGGAGTAAAAATGCCCTTCAAAATAGTGGCCTCATTTCTTCTGAATATATTCCTAGTAGAAAGATTGGCGGGTCATATAGTAGTTCTACTTTAATTTTGAGGAATCTTCATACTGTTTTCCATCATGGGCCTATTAGTTTATGTTCCCACAAACAGTCTACAAGGGTTCTTCTACTGTCTCCACATTTGTTATCTATAGTCTTTTAGGGAATTACCATTATTACTAGGGTAAACTCAACCAATTTTGGTTTTGATTAGCATTTCTACAATGATAGATAGATAGATAGATAGATAGATAGAGATAGAGATATAGAATAGGCAGGCAGGCAGCAGGCAGGCAGATAGTTAATCTAGGCGTGATATGTCACATGTCATAACTCTAGCATTTGGATAAGTGGATAAGGTGGGAGCGTCACAAATTTGATGCCAATCTGTACTATATCATAAAACTTTTTAATAAATTAAAAACAAATTTTAAGGTTTAACTGGGCATGTGGCCCATGACTGTAATCTCAGGAAGCTGTGGAAGGGCTGCTGAGTTTAAGGCCAGCCTGAATTACGTAGCAAGCACCAGTACAGCCAGATCCAAATAATAAGACTGTTTTAAAATAAAATTAGCTAGGCACTGTGGTAGCACATGCCTTTAATCCCAGCACTTGCAGTTGGGAGGCAGAGATGGGTAATCTCTGTGAGTTCAAGGCCAGCCTGGTCTATACAAGAAGTTCCAGCTATAGCGAAGCCCTGTCTCTAAACAAACTTTTTTTTTTGTCAAGACAGGGTTTCTCTGTGTAGCCCTGGCTGTCCTGGAACTCACTTTGTAGACCAGGCTGGCCTCGAATTCCCTGAGATCCACCTGCCTCTGCCACCTAAGTTCTGGAATTAAAGGCACATGTGCCACCACGCCCAGCCTCTAAACAAACTTTTAAGACAATATGCTAAATTATCCTCAATTATTCTAGCAGTTTATATCAACTTATTTTCTTTCATGAGAAGTTCAGCTACATAGATCGAAACTTGAGGGAGTATGTATTTCCGGGGACCATACTTCTTGTGAAACATAGACGAGACAACGTAAGTAAACCTCTGATCTGGTCTTGTCCTTTTATTGAGCACACTTTTCTTCTCCAGGTTCACGGACAGAAAGCTGCTTGGGAAGACCCAGTGGAGTGGGTCCGGGACACTCTGCCCTGGCCATCCGCCCAACAAGACCAATCAAAGCTATACCACTTGCCCCCACCCTCCGTGGGCCCTCACACCATTGCCTCACCTCCAGAAGATAGGACAGTCAAAGACAGCACCCCAAGCTCCCTGGACTCAGACCCTCTGGTGAGTAAAAGTCATTTTTTTTTAAAAAAGAAAAAAGCCACAGAGTAGTCTAGAACTGAATTCTTTTTTTTTTAATATTTATTTATTTATTATGTATACAATATTCTGTCTGTGTGTATGCTGCAGGCCAGAAGAGGGCACCAGACCCCATTACAGATGGTTGTGAGCCACCATGTGGTTGCTGGGAATTGAACTCAGGACCTTTGGAAGAGGAGGCAATCCTCTTAACCTCTGAGCCATCTCTCCAGCTCCCTAGAACTGAATTCTTAAACTCTTCGTGTATGTTCTGATGGGCCTTAGGTATTGAAGAGTTTCAGCAAAGCCAGGACCAAAATGAGGCCAGTGAGGAACTCTGAGCACCAGGATCTTGGCCTGCATCCTGGCTGAAGCTAAATACACAGCCCGGAAAATGTATTCTAGTAAAGACCCAAGTTTCAGGCAGTCTGTGTAAGAATATACACCAAAGAGGGGCTGGAGAGGTGGCTCAGCAGTTACAAGCACTTGCTGCTCTTTCAGAACATCTGAATTCAGTTTTCAGCACCCACATCTAAGCTTAGGACTCCAGTTCCAAGGGGATATGACACAGCTGACCTGTACGGGCACTGCACTCATGTGGACACACCTACATGCAGATACACACACACATAATTAAAAATAAGAAAAATTAACCCAGCACTTGGGAGGCAGAGGCAACTGATCTCTATGAGTTCAAGGCCAGCCTGCTCTACAGAATGAGTTCCAGGATAGCCCGGTTACACACAGAGAAACCCTGTCTTGAGAAATCTAAATAAATAAAATTTTAAAATGTAAAAAACTATCATCAACTAAAGAAATAGTGTAATAGGTTATACTCCCAGTATAGGCTGGTTGTTCTTCCTACTTCTGCCTCTCCTCTAATATTATTCTGAGACTTCTTCACTAAGTGTATTCTGTAAGATGTAAACTAGGAGAAAATATTTACATAGATATAGCCAAAAAATTAGTATCTTATATAAATCAAGTTAAAAAAAGCTTCCAGGACTGGCAAAATGGTTCAGCAGGTAAAAGAATTTGTCCCCGAAGCTGACAGCCAGTTTCAGGCGAGAATGACTCCCAGAAGTTGTGCACTGACCTCCACACGCATACCATGGCACAGCACAGCTGCATTCACCTGTGGATCGCTCTCTCTCTCTCTTTTTTTACATTTATTTATTATGTATACAATATTCTGTCTCTGTGTATGCCTGCAGGCCAGAGGAGGGCACCAGACCCCATTACAGATGGTTGTGAGCCACCATGTGGTTGCTGGGAATTGAACCCAGGACCTTTGGAAGAGCAAGCAATGCTCTTAACATCTGAGCCATCTCTCCAGCCCCTTGCTCTCTTTTTTTTCTCTCTCTCTCTCTCACACACACACGCTAGTAAATAAGAAATAAGCAAAAATAAGTTATACGAAAAAGATAAGCTTCTAAACAAAAGGATGGGCAAGAGATATGAAGAGGCATTTGACTAGAGGAAATACAAGTGACCAATAAAAACATAAGATCTTAACCTATCTAATAATGAGGAAATGCAAATTAAATCAAGGAGCTGCTCTTTTACTTTGTCAATAGACAGAGGATCTGAAGCTCACACATTCATACTGTGCTATGAGGGTATTCATTACCCAAACCATGTTAGAAGGTGATCTAGCAGAATGGAATGAATTTAACACACAGATCATTTGATCTTGCCTTTGTACCTTTCCAGTAGAAAATAATTCCACTTGAGCCATAATATATTTTTATTTAAATTTTGACTTTATTGAAACAGCCGTTCTCTATATCAAGACGCTTTGTTTGTTTGTTTGTTTGTTTGTTTGATACGGGGTTTCTCTGTGTAGCCCTGGCTGTCCTGCAACTTGTTTTGTAGACCAAACTGGCCTCTTGAATGCTGGGATTAAAGGCGTGAGCCACCACAGCCCGACATCAAGACACTTTTTAACTAACTAATTAGAAAACTAATTAATTATATAGACAGAAGAAAAGATTGGTAGCAGTGTGAACCAGGCTCACTTAGCTGAAGCTTGAGCTGTAAAACAGAAAAGGAGTGTGCTGAGGTGGTAGATTTGACACAGGGTCTGAGAGTCGAGCTGGTGGGTGTCTACTGCTAGGGATCTAAGAGTCCAGAGCTGACACAGCTCTCCTGTTACTCCAGTATAAGCTGGTATGTATGAATCTGTCATTCCCCGGTGTGCATCTTGACACAGGGGAAGCATTGTTCTTTGGTGTCCTCCACAGCCATGACCCATGACCACTTGTATAGGAAAGGTGTCCCAGGTGATTGTTTATGTGTATGGGTTTGCATCATAAACCCATACACTAAAACGATTGCCACTTCTTCATGAATTACCTCTAAACTCTGTTCTTTGTCAACACCACGGATCAGACTCACGATGCAGGGTTTGTAGGGTTGGTTGGTTGGTCAGTTGGTCAGTTGGTTTGGTTTTGGTTTCCTGGTAGGCAGGACCTAGCTTCCCTTCTCATGGTCATCCATCGCTTTGCCTCTTTTTAGATGGCCATGCTGCTGAAACTTCAAGAAGCTGCCAACTATATTGAGTCACCAGATCGAGAGACTATCCTGGACCCCAACCTGCAGGCAACACTCTGAGGGTCTAGCAGTCACTGTCACCATGGACAGCAGAAGGCTGGCTTCAGCTTCATTAGCTCTCCTCTCCCCTCTTCTTTCAGAGCTCTGGCTTACCAGCCTTCCCAGGACAGGAGGGAAGATGAGGGCAAGAGGAGGGATGGGTTCTTGGTGCTGAACCTTTGGGAACTTCCTAGTAGGGACTGGAGGGGTAGAGTTTGGGCACTTGTGCCCCTAAATGCATTTACTGGCCTCCTCTCGTGACTTTGGAGAAGAGATGATTCTGGGTCTTTTCTTCAGTTTTTGTTTCCCCTACAAACTCCTGGGCTTTCTGGGGAGGGATTCGAAGACATCGCAAAAGCCGTGCAGCAGTTCCTACCGGTTCTCATGAACACCTCTGAGACAGTCACAGACGGAGAAGTCTAAGGGAGGCAGGAAACTCCACGGATTTTCTTGCAAACCCTTCCCAATTTTATCATCACTGCCAACAACCTTTCCCCAGAGATCTGGCCAGAGCCCAGAAAAAGAAGCATGTGGTTTAACGAAAAAAAAAAGAAAAAAAGAAAAAAAATTGTGTAAATCAACCTGTAAGAGGTAAAAAGGCAATGGAAGAGATGAAGCTGGAAAGAGGGGACCCAGTTGCCAAGATGGAAAGAGAGCTGCCAGATCTCACCTTCTGGATGACAAGAGGGGACACTGACAAGATGGCTTCCAATCTAAGATGTCACCAAACCACAGAAGTAACATCACAGCCTTCAGAGAGACTATGAGCTGCCTTTCTGCCCTCTAATTGAACTTGCATGAAAGTCAATAAACCCAACTTTTTTAATTTTTAATTTTTAAATTTTATTTCTATTTTTTCCTCCCATCTGCCTATTTATTTGCCCTCTTTCCCTAATTTTCTCACATGTCAATGAGATACTTGGGTTTCCTTCCAGAGAATAGTTTTGCTTTCCAAGTAGGTTTTCTTTGGAGAATTGAATTCCGTACTATTGGTGTAAGTTATGCGCCTGCCATGCGACTATCTCTGGCATCCTTGGGGCTTATATGCGACAAGAAACATTGGCTCAGAATGGTAGGAGAAAACCCAGTTTCTCTGACTTTCCTTTTGAGAAAGCACATGTTCTACCTGGAAGCTCCGCTGCCATCCTCTGGTGTGATCTACCCCGAGCTTCATCGTGGACTGGAGAAAAACCACCATACTGGAAACACCCGCCTGTCTTAGGGCCTGTTTGGCCACCCGCTGCACTATTTGGATGGTAGCCACTTTGCCTGACTGAATGACAATTCCCTTGCTAGCCCTTACTATTTGTTTTTACAGTTGAAGAGTCACTTATAAGAAACTGAACAACCATGTGAACTGCTTCAGGTCAGAATAGAAGGCTCAAGGAGTTGTCCTCGGTAGCCAGTACTGATTGGCCTTCCAAAGAGATCCACCACTTGTGCAAGTTGCCCTCTTCGTATTTCTGCAGCCCACGTTCCTTCATCTGACAAGCACTTACGAGTACTTAGCTGTAAACCAGTCACTATGTTTAAAAAATGACAAGATTTGGTCCTTCAGTTCACAGTCTAGAGGGGAATGTTAATCTCCATTAAGTACACCCTCCCCCAATATGGACCTTGAAAATCATCTGAGAAATAAAGGTGAATCCCAAGGGGTTAAAAGAAGCCTTTGATTAGATGTCCAATATGTGGTAGGCAGAAAATTGGGAATCCATTTTGATGGAGCCTAAAGAAATATGGAATCTTGCTTGTCTAGGGTGGGAAACTACTTCGGTCATTTCTGGAAACCAGATGGAACCAGATTCCAGGCTGAGCTGCCTTACGGGCTAATGTCAGCACTCTGCAGTTCAGGAATAGATACGATGAGCCTGGACTTAAGAGTTTGCTCTTCAGAGTCCTAAGTAGCACAAGACTTACCAGGATCTATACCAAGATTCTATAGGCAAACTAACCTGGGCCATTGTTCCACCCAACCGAGGAATCACATGACTCTTAACAGTATATTTTCATTTAGGTCTTCAAGATGGTCTGGCTTGTTCCCTTTCCCCCTCGTCCCCCACAAAAGCTTCTATATTCACCTGGTAGCCCCAGGGATGACAGGGTCCTCTATTCTGGAGACTATTATTGCTATTGCTGCTAATTCCATGAGCTGTGAAGATCCCCAACCAACTCAGCTGCAAAATAAGCAATTCTGTAGTGGGAAAAGGCGGTTTGTCCAAGGATGGTGCTGAAATCATTGCCTTAAGGTCTCTGCTGTGCAGAATGAGAAGGCCCCAGAGCTGGGTGTTCCAACTCGGAAGGAAGGGGAGACTGGATAGGCCTCCTTTGGACATAGGTCTCTTCTGGACCCTATCCGAAGCTCCAGAGCCACGGAAAGGCTCCGACTTCCGCTGACATCCTGATGCTTGAGCCCTTCACTCTCTTCTCTGGTGCTGCCCAGCCAGTGCCTTCTGAAATGGATGTTACTGGCTACTTAAGAAGAAGGAAAGTAGGAAATGCCTTCTTCCGTTTCAACTGCCTCAGACTGCAGAGGGATTGTCTCTGTGGTAACCATGGATACCATCGTGAATTTTCTTTGGGTCTGCAGCAAGTTGACTCTGGAGGCCTCTCATACTATAACTTCGTTTCTATTCCTGGGACCCACCACCACCTTCTCTCATTTGACTGCTGCATTTAGTTCAGGCCTCAAATAGCTGTCCTCCAGGAAGTGTGTTCCCATCTAGTGAAGTGCTCTTGAAGCCTCTGCTTTCCTTCTGAAGACTGGGACCCTGTTTACAGTTGCACATCTGGGCCCCTCACAGTACCATCTCAAAAAGGGACCGTGGTTCTGTGACAGTTGCGGAAGGTTGAGCCTCCTCATGGTGCTAATGACCCCTTGGGGTGCTCATCCGGACTTCTAAGAAGCAAAAAGCCTGAGCACCCCCTCACTGCCCAGGAATTCACGGCAAAGAGCAAATCCACAGCGTTCTTTCCAGCCTACACGCTTGCTTCTTGGTTGAGACCAGTGGCACTCCTCAGAAAGGAAGAACTGGGTCCCACAGCTAGACTCTCCATCTCCAGGCACCTTCAAGGGAAGAATCCAACCTTTCTAGTTCTGAATTTGTGCTATTCCCTTCCCCCTCTGACCCCCCAATTCCATCCCTCACCAAAGTTGGCTAGTGAAGAACATCAACCTTTGGAGGATCTCAGCTCTGGGAAAGAGGCTAACTAGAATCCCTCGAATTTTGGGATGAAGACCAATAAGTTGTGTTCAATGTGTTCGTTTCTCAGTCCCTGCCTAGGCACTGAAATAAAGTACTAGGTATTAGAGGCTGCTATGGGACCTGATGTCTGTGTATCTCTGTGTTCTATCTTCTGGGGCTTTGTGGAACATTATTATTTTTGATACCTGCTTTCTGGTAACTCTTTGGTGCTTATTTCTGTCTCTGTAAATCTTTACTCCAGTGTCTTCTGTGTAGTCTAATCACCTGGAAGATAGAGGCTGGCAGGGAAGAAGAATGAGATAAAAGACCATGGTCGACCCTACAAGAAAGCCTTTATTGGTTGGCAACCATTTGGGTCTTGAATTACCAACCTTCTAACTAGTCTGTCCATACTGATGGGCATAAGACAAAGTAATGATTTTCTCCCCCCCCCTTTTTTTTGTCTTCTGGCTTTTCTAGTTTGCAAGACTTTTAAGTGGACTTGACCTACCCATCTCCTTACTTGTAGCTCTCAAAGCCGAGCCACACTATTCAGAGGGATACCGCCCCCTCCCGTACTCCGAAGATGAGCTCTGTTTCCTGCCATAGTCCAGGAAAGTAGGGGAAGCAGTGGTAGTTTCCACAACACCTGCCATTGTCACCCCAGATGGAACCATTCGCAGCCCCAGCGTGTGCACAGGTCACCCTTGCCTCATCAAATGAGGGTCAGTCTTATAAACCAGGAGACAAAAGACTTCAATGATTTTTTTTTTAATGACAAAAGGGTTTGGGAGAGGACATTGTGCTAATCACAAGTCTAATACAGGGTTCAGTTAATCTGAAGTAACTCAGACTGTCAGTTACAGCTCCTTATCACACTTTACCCTTTCCGTAGTCTCGGCATTAGCTAAACTGAAGCTAGTGAGTGGACTCCATGAGCCAAGCCCATGGGAAGAGGAAAAATGGCTGTTGCAACAGGTTGGGTAATAGAGACGGATAAGATGGATGTACCAACAGTTATTGGTAACCCGTTTTTTTCCTTCCAGTATTGAGTATTGAACCTAGGGTCTCTCAAAACTCAGCAAGTACTCTGTCACTGAGCTATAGCTCCAGCCCTCACTTCTTTAAAAAGATGGTTTCATTAAAGTTGTCCATAACAGCCCCGAATTCACTAAGTATTCCAGGCAAGCTTTGAATTTGATGATACCACACACACACACACACACACACACACACACGCATGTACACATTAGCCTCTCAAGTAACTGGCCTGTGTCCCTAGGCCCAGCTATAACACACTCTGTAAGAACTATGCATGAGAGTCCCCAACACGCAGGCCATAAGTAGTAAACATGTGTTCCACATGGCCACAGCCTGAAGACACTGCTTTCCGTGCCTGGATCAGCCTTACCAATCAGCAGTCCTCAGTTAACCTGCTCAGGGAGAACAGGGCCACCTGGCGTACATGCTCTTGCAGGAGAGACAGAGTAAACCGGAAAGCTGTCTAGAAGGAAAGAAAGCAGTTGAACTTTGGAAACCACAGGGAGGGAAAGGCAGTTAAAAATTATACCTGCTTATACTAGTTCATTCCAGTTTGATGTTTTGGCCGTTCTCCTTAGTGATTATGTCACAGGGAACATTCTCTGACATGATGTGAGTCCCTGGTCCCTTGGGCCAACCTTTCGTCCCTTAAAGCAGTGGCGCTCGGAGGATGTCTTCAGACCAGCAGGAGCAGCATGTGGGAATGTGTTTAAGGACTAGAATTCCCAGGCTCTAACCCAGGTCTGCCAAGTCAGCTCTAGAGTGGCAGTACCCAGCCATGTTGTAAGGGTGGAGCCAAATCACGGGAGCCCTCACTATGAGATGGCTGATGTTTGAAGACCCCAATAAGAAGCGTCTACAGTCTAATTCAAATGCTCACATTTCAAAGTCACTTTGCTCTTACTTAGGTTTCTGGGAGCTAGTAGTAAAAATATGTGCTTTGGGGTAGAAGTTAGGGAAGGTCTGCGTCTTTGCAGCCTCTAGCGGAAAACCCCTGGCCTCTGACATCACTGCCTGGCACACTGTGGGGCTCCAGTGGAACAATCATGTCGGAAGTCTCCTCCACGTTGCTGTTCTGATGGATTCTTTATCTGATAATAGTATAAGAAAAGTAAAATAAAATCTAATTTACATTCCTATGATAAAATGTTCTCCCTTTAAATGGTGAAGAGTACTGCGGAGTCTGAGAGCTCCACCAGCCCTTCCTTCCCCAAGGCAGCCAACAGCTGAGTGCCAGTATGCCAGAAGGGCCCAGGTCTCTGCTCAGCCCACAGGAGAGAGTTCTACACCGTGAAAATAAAGTATCTAAGTCCTTAGGTTCAACCTTTGCCTCTTCCCATATCAGGACCTAAATACCGTACTACTCAGCAAAGGGAACAAAATAAATACTCTCTAAAAAATAAAAAAAAAAAGTTTTTTTTCAGGAAGAGCTTTGTATATTTCCAAACCTATAAACTAGCTGAAATGGCCATGGAAGAGTTGAGGCTGTTTAGAAGAGTTTTGTTTCAAGTGTGTCAGCTTTCATCCCCTGTGAGAGCACTTTTGTGGTACTAGGTCTCCTGAGCTCGCAGACTAAAGAAGGATAAAGCCCAAGGAGAGCAAGTGTAAAACAGTTGCACTAAAGTCATCCCCTTGCCATCCAGCCAGCCCTGGTCCCCTTGTCCTGCTTCCCTGCCGTTTCTGAGAAGGAAAATAGGAGAAGCAACTCCCACACTGCAGCCAGTTTCTGCTGCTGCTGTGCTCCCTGCCCCCCCCCCACACACTTCCTAACATTCTTTTGTTTATTGCTTTTAACCAAACAAAATTACAGTGAATTCTAGGTCTTGCTAGCTTCCTTTCCTCCCCCTCCCTATCCTGTTTGACACAGCACTGCTCCTGTAAGAGGCTGTGTTCCTCAAATGCATGGCATTCCTCAGGTGGCGGATGGGCAAGAATGGTCACTTTTTAAAACTTACTGAGTACAAAAATCCCAAACCGTGATATGTGTGTGTCTGTGTGTTTGTCTTATTTCCGTTCCATTTGACCCTCGCCTATTCCAGTCTGTCCCCTTTTATACCTAATGTAGAAAAGGCAAAACCTGAATCTGGAAAGCAAATTGTTGTATATAGTTGCGGTAACAATCATGAAGAGAGCTGGGCTGTCCCCTCAGTGATTCATTTTAAACAAGAAAATTGGTTGAAAATTAAAACCATGCCTTGGCCAGCTGAAATGGCCTTCCTCCATCGCCACAGGGACCACCCTTACCTGGGTCCTCTGTCTGCAGGCATGTCTCCATCTAGCAAAATTCCTCTGTTCTCTGCCATTTGCGTTTCAATAAAGTTATCTCCTGTATTGTCCACTGGTTTTCTAGCTCACTCTCTGCCTGGTTTCTGTGTCCGTTTACCTTACTGCTTGATCTGGAAGGTCACACAACTTGTGGTCATCACCCTAACTCAGAAGCAAAACCCACCTGCCTGTAAGCGTCTGAGCCCAAATGCTGAGCAGGGGTCTTTTGACTTCTTCTTCGGGGCGTGGGAGAACCCCACCTTGTACACTGTGGACAGTTTCTGCCCTAGTGTGCTTTCAGTTGCACATCAACACCATGAGCAGAAGCAACTTGGAGGGTGGGTATTTATCTTACAGGTTAGAGTCAGTCCATGTCAAAGGAAGTCCACGTCAAAGGAAGTCAAGGCAGGACCTCCCTAGGAATGCTGCTTACTGGACTGCTCCCTTGATCTTAAATAGCCGAGGCCCACGTGCCTGGGGACTGCACTAACCACAGTGGGCGAGGTCCAACTAGGTCAATAAGCATTAAAGAAATGGTTTACAAACATGGTCACAGGCTAGTCTGATTCAGTGAATTCTTTAGTTGAGTTCTGGTGACTCCTAGGTTTGTGTCAAGCTAACAGCTGAAGCTAATTATGGCAGTTTCCCTCGCCAGAAGTCAAGGCTTCCAATTGGCAGGACGGGAAGTCTCTTGACTTTGAGAATGTACCACCCTCTAGACCAGAGGTTCTCAACCTGTGGGTCGTGACCCCTACTGAGCCAAATGCCCCTTTCCTGGGGTTGCATATCAAATAGTTCATAACATTAACAAAACTACAGTTATGAAATAGTTTTATGGTTGGCATCACCACAACATGCAGAACTATTAAAAGGATCAGAGCATTAGGAAGGTTGAGAACTAGACACTACCTAATTTGGGGGTTGAACAAACATGAACATACCTCAAAGGACAGCTGCTCTAATGGAGTTTGGGTTCTTCTGGCCACTGTAAGACAGAAAATAAACCTTACCATCCTCGACTATGGAATTGCAGAGTCAAAACGCACTCATTTTCCCAGAAACACCTGCTCTGTGCTCCAACAGCATACTCATTCCATCCCTTCGGCCACCAGGCGCTTGCCACTCTGTCCTGCATCTTTCGTCCCTTGCTCTACTCCCCTCCACTGGCTCTATGGAGTAGTGTCCCATGTTGTGGCCATTTCCTGCAACTTGTCCTTGTTAGCCATATTAAACTACTCTTGTTCTCCCACCCTACCAAAATCCCCCTGGGTCTCCAGAAGCACGCTGGGCTAGCTAGATGGCTCTGTGGGTAAAGTGCCTGCCTCAACACCTAATAACCTGAGTTCACTCTTACATAAAGGTGGCCGAAGACAGACTAAACTGTCCTCTGCCTCTACAGGTGTCCCATGGCATACGCCCATGTATTCAAGCAAGGTGTGCACACACACACAAACCTGACACTATTTTTTTTTTATAAATAATGTATGTACTTGCGGTATTCACTCTCAGTAGTCACACAAAGAATAAGTCTGGTGCCATGGGTGATGACACATACCTGTAATAGCACTGGAGGAGGTAGAAGCAGAAAGACCGAGATCAGGGAGTTCAAGGCCAGTACCAACTACACAGAAAGTTTGAGGACCGTCTGTGCCATGTGTGACCCTGTCTCCAAACAAATTAACAACAAATAGATAATATTTTTAAAAATCAGTTTATAGCTGCGTAGTGGTGGCACACACCTTTTTATCCCAGCACTCGGGAGACAGAGACAGGAGATCTCAGGAGTTCGAGGCCAGCCTGGTCTGCAGAGTGAGTTCCAGGACAGCCAGGACTACACAAAGAAACCCTGTCTGGGGGGGTGGGAGCTACACAGAGAAACCCTGTCTCGAAAAACGAGGAAAAAAAACAATCAGTGGAGAGAAATTCTCCTTACATGTAGGTACTCTCCCCTGGACAGCCACTTTCTCATTTGAGATTGGGCTCATGTAAACTGAAAAACTAAAAAACTAAGAAACTAAAATTGGGGACTGCCAATTTCACTTCGGTTTCTCCGCATGCCTCCCAGGTATCTTTGGATCTCTAAAAGTAAAAAGTGAACGGACCCAACTGAATCCATGTTTTTAGTTGGGAGGAGGGGTGTTAGTTTAAAATAGGTGCTATTTCTGCTATTTCCCGAAAGCCTTCTGTATCCATTTCCATCCTACTTCTGTGCTAACACGTCTTAAATCTGAGCCTAGAATCAGGTATCACGGCCTTTATTCAAGTGCGCCTGATATTCAGGACTCCAAACCGTTATGGCATTCTGTGTGCACACACATCCCCAAAAGCGTTCCTTGCCGGCAGAAGCGCGGTTCGTTCCGGCCGCAAAAGGCGCTGTCTCCGGAGGCAGCAACCTCTCCCCGCCCCCGCCCGCTCCCGCGTGCTTAGATGCGCAGGCGCGGCTTCGCGGATTGGCCGTACGCGGGAGCCGTCATTCGGTGGCGGGTCCCGTCCGCGGGGCTGGCGGGCTGAGGGGAGAAAAGATGGCGGCAGCGGCGGCAGCTGGTACGGCTTCTGGGCTGCCGGGTCCAGTGGCACAGGGATTGAAGGAGGCGTTGGTGGATACCCTCACCGGGATCCTGTCCCCCGTGCAGGAGGTGCGGGCGGCTGCAGAGGAACAGATTAAGGTGCTGGAGGTGACAGAGGGTGAGTGAGGAGGGACCGTCACAAGGATGGCTCGGACCTGGGCCGGCCGCACACTCGGCTGACCACAGGGACCTGGGGAGCCTGAGCCAGGGGAGAGGTGGGCACGAGGAGGGGGGTGCTGGGGTGTGCCGCTGATGGCTGAGAAAGTCCTAGAAGAAGGGTGGCGCGTCTGAAAAGGGAGAGGGTCGGGGAAGGTGGAGCCTTGGCGGGGATGGGGTGGGTGAAGACTTGAAAAGATAGATAGTGCCTAGCTTCTGCAGAGGACAGAAATGGAGTTCGACGTGGAGCTGTCGCTGTCGCGCTGTCTGGATGATATTTGAGCTCAAGGCAAGGTCCTTTGCCGTTTTCTTCAGCAGCTCGGTCGTAGTGGGATCAGGGAAGAGCGCTAGGGAAGCGTGAGAGGTAAGGCCCAGGAGAAGGCGGCTACCATCAAACAAGTTTCAGCATCAGAGTTTGAAGTCTGGCCGGTTGTCCAGACACCTCACGTTTTCCTAGAAATTTAACTCAATTAGACGTACACTACTTCACTTCCCCGATCATGCTTTCTGTTTGTTTGTTTTTAAGATTCATTGGCAGTTATTAAATGCTGTGCATTTCCATGTCCAGGGACCGATCTTCCTTTGTTTTAAGCTCTTTGTTCTCATCCTCCCATTATGTTCTTTAAAGTGATAGAGAAGAAACTATTAGTTTGACGTTTTCTTTCAATTTCCTGCTTAGTGGGCTTTCATCAGATCATTTTACAAAGAACAGAAAAATGGTAAACTCTCCTTGGTCTTTTTGTTTGTTTGTCTGTTTTTCGAGACAGGGTTTATCTGTGTAACAGCCCTAGGTGTCCTGGAACTAGTTCTTATAGACCAGTTTGGTCTGGAGCTCACAGAGATCCTCCTGCCTCTGCTTCCTGAGTGCTGGGATTAAAGGCGTGCACCACCACCGCCCAGCAACTCTCCTTGGTCTTTATGTAAGAAATATATCCTATCAGAATTTCAGTGGGACTCCAGATCCCTGGAATTCTCAAGTTCAAGAGAATATTTTAACTGCTCCTTAAACTTAGGCCTCTTCAGAAATATGGGAGATTGTTCCTATATTTGACCAACCACCCTTAAAGCCTTGAGTTGATGCTCTTACAGGACTTATTTTTATTGAAAAGAAATAGATGGAGGCGGGGAGTCACCCTTAAATTTAGTTTTATATTCTCTTATAGTACGGTCCTGGGACAATTGGGAGATCTAATAGGTTAAGGACTATTTGGAAAAAGCCAGTTGTAGTTTTATAACATACCAGAGTCTCCCAGATGTGGGTGGGAGAGCGCTGTGGGGAAACAATGCATAACTTGACCTGAAGGAGTCTCTAACTTTCTAGGTAAGATTGTTTGTTCCATGGGACATGTCTGTAAGACTAAATGACTTGCTGTTTTTGTCAGAAAGGTGTGTGCCTTTCTTGGCTGCCTACTGATGGGCTCTACTCTTGCACATCAAGTGCAGGGGTCTAACTTTTGGAGGGTGGGGGAGAAAGGCACAGCTCAGTTATTACCTCTTGACTTTACATCTCATGTCCCTGCCTCCCTTGATATAAAGAAGGAAAGCTGATAGACAGAAACCTTACCATATTTAACTTGCTACTTGCATTCAGTTGCTTGTGTGATGCAAACTGATCTTTAATTAAACTTTCCATGAATGATACCCAGTGTTGGGCTACCCCAAATGTATGTCTGACACCTTGCTATGAAGAGTGGGCTTATGCTTAAACTACAATAGCACTTTCCTTGCCCTGATTTCTTCATGTCTAGCCAGGTGCAATGGTCTTCAGGCAAAGTCAGTTACAAACTTGAGATTGTTGTGAAGTTCTTGTCTTCCACTTTTGTCCTTTTGTGGACTCTTGAAATCAAAAGTACAGGATTTCGACCTAGTGCACTGATGAAGAAATAAATGAACTCTGCCTCAACTCTCCCTCCTGGCCCCATAGCGTACTGGTGATGTGCTGTGTGGCACGAGGACGAGAGACAGGGCAAAGCTTTGATGCGGTAACAGGAATGGCGACCTGGTAGTAAGTAAGGCATATGGACTCAAGTATAGAATGTGGTTATAGGCCGGGCTGTGGTGGCGCACGCCTGTAATCCCAGCACTCGGGAGGCAGAGGCAGGCGGATCTCTGTGAGTTCGAGACCAGCCTGGTCTACAAGAGCTAGTTCCAGGACAGGCTCCAAAACCACAGAGAAACCCTGTCTCGAAAAAAAAAAAAAAAAAAAAAAAAGAATGTGGTTATAGGTTAGATCCAGCCTGGAGTTGAATATACTATGTTGGACTCTTCAGTGGCTTTAAAATAGTCTTGTCCCCTTCTGTACCTATTTTTAGTTAGAGAATGCGGTTCATTCCTTAAGTATTTTTTCTATGAGTGGCCTTTAACATCATCTTCCCGTTGGGTCCAGAGTATCTGCAGTCTTTCATTCTGGCTGACTCTTAGAAACTTTG